CTTTTTGCTTTTTTTTACCTTTGAGATTTTTTTCTCTGCTTTCTTTTTGTTACTTTGGCCAATGAGTGAAACTGCAGTTGCATGAGATATCCCACGCGTGATAAATGGTAACTAAAGAGCTCTTTGTGTCTATATGTTGTATGTCTGTATGTCCTTTCCTTGTGTCCTTGTCTTGACCTCCAGTGATTGACAAATTGGTATACATGGTGCCCATAGACATTGCAAAAAAGAGTCTCCAGTTATGAGAAAAACTAAAGGTTATGGTTTCATTGTCAACATTGTGCTACTGAACTAAGCCGGTGCCTTCATAGAGATTGAACATTGTTGTTTCTGTTATTTTTCTGATATTTATGGCAAAGCTTCCCAGAAATCTAAATTCAAGTACAAATTTGATAGCCTGTCATTTGGCTGATGCAAGGAAATTTTGTGGAACCTCAGTAGAGCTCCTGAGACACTCCACAAAGTTTCTCCCTTTCCTCCTGGGAAAGGCATTAGATGAATTTGTTCTATTTGGCTCACCTAGTAGAGTAAAACTAGAAGGGAAGCATTGTCACTTGGGAAAACGGGTAATAACACCTTGACCTGATATGGATGTAAATTGTCAATGATGATTGTCACCTTGTAATATTGTATACTTCAATTGTTTAATATCTACAGGAATTGTTTCTGAAAATATAGGGAGAAAAGGTCTCAACAGATTCCTATTGATGGAACTGTTGAGAGTAAAACTTTTCTACTAAGGACTGAATAGACTTGGAAATACACCTCATATTTACTAAGTTTTCCTTGACATAATACTCATGATTTTTTGCATTTTGTTCTAAATCCACAAAGTTTTCTTGTTTTGGTGACCAGGATCTGCAGCAAGGTTGTAATTTTTTTTTCCCAACAAAGCTAACTTGTGTTTGCATTTTCTCTCCCCTTGATACCAACACAGCATAAAAATAGCGGTAGTAATCTTTTACTACTTATCTCAGAGTCTGTTTTTGCATAACTTCCATAGGGATTTTGTTTAAACTGAAAAAATTTGGACATAAGTTTCATAGTGTGGCTTTGTGTGGAGCTCTTCCAGAAAGTTGAAACAGAGCTGAACCAAGAAGAGGAGAACCTGTTTGCCTTGTTTGTAGGGTTCCAGAGACCTCCAAAGAAGGTGAGGAAGCTTGCCTCCATTGGCAGGACTGGACAACCCGGCCAACGAAAATGCCCTGGTACCCTCGAGAAGAGGAAAGCCCAGGTGGAGTCTGATGAGACTAACTTTGTACCTGAAGCCTACATCGACCGGATGCCAATGGTTTGCTCTGATCCTATATGGAGTATTTCAACAAAGCCAGCTAAAATTGCTGCTTAGTTATTCTGCCCTGTGATTTTATGCAAAAATAGGCAAATGGTTTAAAAGTAGACTTAATTTGCAAAGTTTTGCTATGCTGTTAAAGTTTGGGATCAAGGTTGAGAGAATTCATTTTTGCATAAGTTGAACCATTTTAACATTTTTTTCCTGTGATTTTGACATATCTGCTGTCTTGTTCTGGCTAATGCCTCCAGATGTTTTCTTTCGGCTGGGACTGATGAACTGTTTTTCCAGGAATGGAGGACTTTTGCTTTCCACAATGGACAATACCTGGAGGGATTCGTTTTCTTTCAGACTGGAACCCTGGAAAACTTTCATCTGAGACTGTATCCCAGCATCCATATGTTTGATCTTCATCACCATGGAAATGGTGGCAAAAAGTGAAAGGGGGGAATTGTTAGGGGGAAGTGATGTCCTGAGTTAATCCCATACAGGATTAACTTTGTGGACTCCACCCCCACTCCAGACTAAAGCCATCAAGACTCTGGGAAAGACAAATCCCATCACCACCAAGGGAGGATGGCTGGGACCTGAGGGTGGAGTTGGGCAGCCAGGTTGGATATAAAAAACCAAACACGTGGGCCTTGGGCTCTCTCTGGCTCGCGATCGCTCGCCTCCTGGCTTCACCGCTCCTGGCTGGCGGCCAACTCTGAGAGCGCCATTTTGGGATTCCTAATCGGCGGATCGGGTAGGACTCATTTAAAACTTTGTCTCCCACTTTTCTCCCAGAGCTGTACATTTCCTCATTTCCCCTTCCCTTTGTAAATAAACCTTTTATTAACCTTTCACGTGTGCCTGCAGTAGAGCATTGATAAGTCCTTTTAAGCGCGCGGGTGAGGACCCACAGTCAGGCACCCCGTTTTGTATCGGGGTTGCTCTACAACAAAACCACTGCTGAACTACCACAAGTGAATAGATAAAAATCTTGATACTGCCGGCTTTCCTGTCAATGATGGAACCTCTGCTGAAATAACCATGTTTTCACTTGTAGGATGAGACAGAAAATAAAAGTGTTCTGTTAGGCAGGACACTAGATTTATATTGATCTGTGACAAGTTGACTTGGAATACAGGATTTTCATTCTATTATGTTCTATATTTCTTTTTGCAAAGGCAATGAAATAATCACAGGAAGGTTTTATCAGTTATTTCAAATTTTGTTTTATGGAATGTCATTGCTCCATTCAAAATTTTGTCTTTTTCTTCCCATAGTTATGCACAACTTTCAGTCCTCTTGTATTTATTTTGTAAAATTTTTATTTATTTATGCATACAAGACTGGGGTTGTAGGCCAGAGATGCAGTGAAACTCTTCTGAGGGGAGCAGCAGGCGAGACAGGAGAGGTCTGCTGCACCATGTGGGCCAGCTCCCAGGCTGGGGATGGAACCTGTACCACAGTGGCTGCCAGTAGCTTGATAGTGCTGAGACTTATCACGAGTGGGATTAATTGGCTTCAGTCAGAAGTTGGCTCTCAAAGAGAATTTTATTACTGTATTGTTCACATACACACACATTCACATAGGCAAGGCAACCCGAAGTTCCCAGAGTAGCTCTGACTGAAGACAGTAGCCACGACGTGTCTTAGCTGGGCCTTCCACCCAGGGGAAAGTCCTCCGGCCGTGGAAGTCTCTAGGCTTGAGGGCCCGAAGTCCAGATGGTGCCTAGGATGTTGAGCCGGTCTGCAGCATGTGCTGCTGTCAGAGAGCAGGCTGCCGGTTTGTGGGAGGAAGAACCGGGGAGTGAGGCTTGGTTCATGGTGTGCCAAACTGAGGAATGAGGAGAGGTTCTGGCTGGAGATCAGTCTGAGTCCAAAGAGGAGCAGCAAGCTGGACTCAGAAGAGGAGCTTCTGGAAAGTCCTTAGCTCAGAGCCAGGTTTGGGACTGCTCGGAGACTGCTTCATGAATCCACTCCTTTTATGCATCCTTATCAGGTTCAGGCTCAGGCACCATCTGTTTTTATCATCTTTAACATTCAGGATGTGGAGGCAGCCCCATGCACTCACGGCGCTCACAGACACCTTAGCATACTCTTAGTTTCACTCTTAGCCTATGTATTTATATTGCTTGTAAGCTTTTTATGTTGATTACATGCTTAACCCCTTGCACCCGGAGGGAGACCCCAGACCTCTTGTATTTGAGGCTGGAAGGGTCTGGGCTTTGAATCAGTGCCTTATTATTTTCACTGTTTTTTTTTTATTTTTACGTATAACTAGATTAAACTTGTTGATTAAAACAATAAATATTGTAAAAATTGAAAAAGGGTAAAATGTGCTCATTTGGACTGACAAATTAGTTCAAGCTAAAAATTGAAAAACTATTGATGGAATTCAGGTGATGGGGTTCAGTGTGGGGGGATTCTTGGATCCTCTGACAAATCATTCAGTAATGTTCCCTTTCATTAGCACATGGCAAGGTAATTGAGGAAAAAAGAGCAGGAGAGAGAGAAGTCTGCATAGTCAGATAGGCTCTGAAAGAACAAAAGCTGCATTTTGCCAGGGTAAGACGTGTTCTTTCATAATGTTCTGTGATGGAATGAGTGTGGAAATCATTGCCTTGGGGTCAGAATGGGTGGGTCTTCTAAGTTTGATAATCCTCTCTGCCCCCACCTCTGGCTGGTCATCTTTTCTGACCCCACCTTAGATTGCTGGAACCTTCCACAGGTGGGTTAATAAAGATTTATATAGATTGCCCTTATGATACCTCCCTCAGTAAAAACAAAAAACAACAAGGTGAACTTGACATTAACTGATATGCCGCTGCTCTTCCCACACCTGCTTTACTATCAGGAAGACAATATTTTCACCCTTAGAAATTTTTCTATAACTGCAACAGAATTTTTAAGGCTTTCTTTAAAAAAATTCTATGGTGGGCCGCCCTGGTGGCGCAGCAGTTGGTTGAGCGCTGGGCTGCGAGGCTGCCCGCAGCCTCTGCAGCGCGGGTTGGATCCCTGGCCACCGGGCGAGGGTCCCACATGGCGCCCAGACCTCTCCTGCCGCCCGCTGCGCCCCTCAGCAGTGTATTACATCGGTCTGCCTGTTCTACTCCCCGCTCTGGCTCTGGTGAATACTCTCGCCCTCCCCCGCTTCTGACTGTACCCAGTGCTTGTATAAATAAATCTTTTTTAAAAATTCAACTATTTCTTTTAATACAGACACACACATATCTGTAATATCCCAAATGCTAATATCTAAATCCAGAGTCCCCGCAGAAGGGCGATACCGACTTGTTCTCTTCTCCGAATGAGCGAGAATCCCTCTTTCAGCGGGTTTTTGCCTCCACGTCATTCTCTCTCCCCATCTTCAGGGCTCTGACGTCACACACTCCCGCTTCCTGCTCCCCCTCTGAGCGATCCCCCACGGCTCTCCGGGCTGCGTTCCCTCCTCGCCCGGCTGACCCGCCCCTCGGCAGCCGCCCCTCGCCCGGCTGACCGCCCCTCGGTCCCCCTGCCCCTCCCGCCGGCCCTGGCGCCTCCGCCCGCCAGTGTCCCGCCTCGGCCGCGCGCGCCGCTGCCCCGCCCCTGGCCCCCAGCGAGCCTCTCCTTCTCGGCCTTGCCCCGCCCCCTGCGCGTGACGTCCCGTCCCTGCGCGCTGACGCGGGAACGGCGGCGGGAGCGGAATGGCGGAGCCGTGGCCTCCAGGAGCGCCCACCCCGGCGGAGCGGGCCCGCTGGCCGAGGAAGGAGACGCCCCGGGGGCAGAGCACGGGAGGCGGGGAAGTGCGGGGAGACGCTGAACAGGTCAGGGGAGGGTGAGGACGCCTCCCTGCCCGCGGCTGACGGCCGAGCGGTGAGTCAGGGGACCCGGGGCGGGGCGGGCGGGCTGTGGAGAGCTCTGCGCGGGTCATTTGGGTCCTGGGGGAACATGGGGGTCAGGACATTCCCGAGTGTGACCCTGAGGGTGCGCGGCGCCCCTGAATGAAAGCGCATTCCCCGTGTTTGCTCCCAGCGCCTCCTTGCCGCACTGATCAACCCCCGGATGGGTTTTCTGGGATCGCCGTTCTGTTCCATTGATCTGTGTGTTTTATCTCTGTGGACTTAGGATATAATTTGGAGACTGTATTGTAGACTTTTCTGGGGCTGACACCCCCCTCCCCACGCCAGGTCCAGCAGGCAGGAGGGCAGAGCCGAGTCCCAGTCTCCCGGGGTGCAGGTTCTTACCCAGTAGGTTGCGTGGTGCCTGGGGCTCTGCATTTCTCACGGGGTCTGAGATGCTGCCCGTGCTGGGCCTGGGCCCACGTCTGAAGGGTGAGGCATCACTTACCTGTTGTGCAGCTGATGTGGCCATTCAGAGCCTGGAAGAGGGAACTTTGACACCTAGAAACTGCCTCATGAGGCGACTTCAGACTGCCCTTGAATAGAACCAGGCTTTCCTGAGCCTTGAGTGACCAAGAGCCACACGGCTGCCACACTCTGGCTACAATGTCTGCTTTTCGAAAATGGGTTTGTAGTCACCATTTCAGTGTATTGAAACCTGTGACCATCTCTTTATCACTAAAGGACAGCCCCGAGATTCCCACAGCAGGGATAGCTGGATGCTGTCACCAATGGGGATGGAAGGTCCTTCATGGGAAATCATCTGAGACACTGAAGGGCCCATTCCTAAGCTCTTGAGGTCTTTTCTCTACTGATACCTGGCCCTAAGAGGATCCCTTCTGTATTAGAGCGTGAATAAGCCACAATCACTCATTCACCTGGGAAGTGGATAATTTTGTGGATAATTTTGTCGATAATCTACTTTTTAATATTTATAATCTGTTAAACTGATATTACCTCCTCCATCATAAATCGTTTTATGCTTGCTTTGGAGAGAGTTGAACAGGTCAGGGAAGGGGAAAGAAATCGATGTTTATTGAGCACCTGCTGGAGATTACCTGACCCTGTGCAACAAGTTCATTACTTAAGTTATGTGATCTCACTGATGGCACTGTACAGACATTATTCCTACTCCGTAGTTGACAATCTGAAGGTCCAAAGGAGACAAGGAACTTGTGTTAAGATCATATAAATAAGGACAAAAGTCGGGGATTTTTGGACTACATATTTTTGGCTAAATCAGAGATTGTCAAATGAGACTAAACTATAAACCCCCTGAAGGCCAGCAGGAGGGGAGGAGTGTGGGCAACCCTGTCCATCCTCAGAGCAGCTCCGTGGGTGTTGGGCTTCCTCCTTCATAAGGAAAGAGCCTCAGGTTAAAATAAAAGTTTAATGTATCATTGCGTTACATGCAGATGCTGTCTTTAATGTTGCACATGATTTCCTTAATAGCTTTAGAAATAGCTCTAATCCCAAATGTGATTGCTACTCATAGGAGACTGCATTTCAAAATAGTGTTTTCTGTAATTATTCCCTTATAGGAGGCTTAGCTGCTGTACCTACCAGAGGGAATTCCTGGAGATCTAGAACAATTGATAAGAAAGCAATGCCTCAGCAGTGCCTGCAGTATTATTCAGGATAAGACCCCCCCCCTTTGATTGTTAATGATTTGATCTATCTCATCTATACAAGAGGGAAACATAGTAGAAGCAGTGACTGGTGTCCTCAGGATGTTGGTTTTCATGGTGATTGTTTTATTATTCATGTTTCCTCTGTTGACAAGTTTTTCAGTGAACTTGTGTCATTTTGTGATTAGATTTTAAAAAGGTTATTTACGTAGTTCTAAAGTTTAGATTCTTGCACATTGCTCTTAGTAATTTTCAGTATTAAAGAGCACACATCCATTCTCTGAAATGATCTCGATTATGTTTGTCATTCCGATGAACCGAATGTGAAGTTGAGTGTGAAGATGTATGTCCTACTCTAACAAAATGCCCTGGAAAGCGAGGCAGCGCTCCCGCCTGCCTGTGACTGTGCAGGTGTTTCTTTTCACAGACCTTTTGCGTTTGCAGCTCTCTCTGCCTGCTGGTATCTGTGCCTGCTGGTATCTCTCTGCCTGCTGGTATCCTGTACTTACCTTCGCTTTTAAATTTTCCTTTGGATATAAACAAAATACAAAACAATTCTCTGGAGATAAAAATAGGCCTATTTCATCGTGATACATGTTCTTAAACATATTGTGACAAGCATTTCTCTATCCCAGCACCAGCTGTGATCATCTCCTATCTTCATTAGGTTTGCCATAGTGGGGGTAAGGCCAGCTCCAAACAGCAGCCTTAGCAAAATAAATTTCTTTGCTTTAATAGGCGTACTTACATTGCACCAAATAAAAGGTGGTGCAGGCACACCTTGAAGATATTGTTGGTTCATTTCCAGAATACCACAACAACCCTAATATTGCATAAATAAAGTCATTACTTTTTTGTTGATTTCCTGGTGTGAATGAAAATTGTTTACTCTATAGTGTCATATATTAAGTATGCAGTAGTATTTTGCCTAACGAGAAAATAGCCTAATTAGATATCACCAAGACATGAGGTGAACATATGTTGTTTGGGAAATGGCGCTGCTGGACTTAGCCCAGTCCAGGTTGCCACACACCTTCAATTTGTGAAAAGCAGTATCTGATAAAGCAAAGCAAGCAGGATGGGGTGTGCCTTTATAGACACTTCTGAGAACAATCCTTTGGATTTTAATAAAGTATACACATCTGGATAAGTGGACTTCAATTTAATGATGATGTTTATATGTAACTATTTTTTCCAGCAGTTTTGTCAGCACAGGAGGGTGTGTATTCTTTTCCATGATAGAAAGTACTCTGAACACTCAAGATAGTGAACAAGGGTTAGCTAAATGCCTGCAGTCTGCCAGGGACTGGGCTATACACATAGTCTCTTTAGAATTTATTGTGGTCTTTTAAAAATGTCAAAAACTTATAGCTATCATTGGTTGAATCTCAGTGGTAAGTAGAAAATAAGGAGTTTAGTTTTTATTATGCTATTGAACAGCTACAGAAGAAGCACATATGACTTGGCTTCTGCCTAAGTTCTTCCCCAGGCTGTAAATCCATGTAGACGTCTGCAGTGAGGTAGCCAGTACTCCCTGCCACCACACTCTGATCCTTTTGCTCCCCAAACTGGACATTACTGTTGACATTTGGGATCATGGTACCATTGCTGTGCTTTATTGCTTTGAATCATTGGTGTTTTGTTATTTATTTTTTAAAGACACTTATTTATTTATGCACAAAAGATCTAGGGCACAGGCCAGAGAAGCTGGGGGTGGGAGGACTCACGAGAGACAGAGCAGGGAACAGCACAGGCAGACCAGTTGAAGTACACAGCTGAAGGTAGCAGCAGGTGAGACGAGAGGTCTGCCTCGCCAGGTGGGCCACCCGCTGGCCGGGGATCAAACTCACGCTGTGGAGGCTGCGGACCTCCTCATAGTGCGGTGCTCAACCCCCTGTGCCACCAGGGTGGCCCTAGATTTATTTTTTTAATATTTTATTTTATATAATTCTTACAACATTCCTATTTTTATTTATTTATGCATTTTTATTTATTTATGCATACAAGAACTCTACCAATTTCTAATTCAAAGTTTGTTTTTCTTTTTGTTTAAAGATTTATTTTTGTGTAGAAGACCTGGGGTGCAGGCCAGCAGTGTCGGGTGATAAGAGGATTTACCAGGGACAGAGTGGGGAGCAGAACAGATGGATCTACTGAAATACACTGCTCAGGGGAGCAGCGGGTAATACAGGAGAGGTCTGCTGTACTCTGTGGGTCAGCTCCCTGACTGGGGATCAAACTTAGGCCATATTGTGGGCCATTGTGGTGATAGTGGTGAGACTTAAGCCCTGGTCTACCAGCGAGGCCCTCAAAGTTTGTTTTGATGTTGAATAAGCATAATTATTTGTTGAGCTCATTTAATGTTACAGAATACTAATATAGATGTTCAAAAGTTAGTTTTGAAGGTGCACAAAAAATATTTTCATTATGGATCTGATGGTGGGTATTGTCTCAGGGGCTTGTAAATGTTATCTCTGAGAACTGTGGAATTGGTCATATTCTTTAGATGCAGACTTTACTATTTGAGGCCAATTGAAAAATTGGCATTTTTTTAAAATTTTTTATTTTTATATTCCCCATACAATTGCAACCCCCTTATTTTGACCCCAATCCCTCCCCTCCCACCCCCTACCCCCCTTAGAGAGTTTTTGTTGATTTTGATTTTCACTTTCTTATAGTTATTCATTTTCCTGGTCCCTTATTTAAGTTTTCTAGATTCCTGCTATGAGTGAGACCATCCGGTGTTTTTCTTTTTCTTTCTGGCTTATTTCGCTGAGCATGATCCCTTCCAGCGCCATCCATGTTGCTGCAAATTGCATGTGTTTATCTTTTTTGAATGCTGAGTAATATTCCATGGTGTATATGTACCACATCTTCTTGATCCAGTCATCTATTTTTGGGCATTTGGGTTGTTTCCAAAGCTTAGCTATTGTAAACAGTGCTGCTATAAACATAGGGGTGCAGGTGCTCTTTGGAATTGATGTTTCTGTGTCCTTTGGGAAAATACCTAGGAGTGGAATTGCTGGATCATATGGAAGCTCTATGTTTAGTAGGTCCAGAAATCTCCACACAGCTCTCCATAGTGGTTGGACCAGTTTGCACTCCCACCAACAGTGCAGGAGAGTTCCTTTTTCTCCACACCCTCGCCAACATTTGTTGTTGCTAGTTTTTTTAATATGTGCCATTCTCACTGGTGTAAGATGGTATCTCATGGTAGTTTTGATTTGCATTTCCCTGATTACAAGTGATGTTGAACATTTTTTCATATGCCTGTTGGCCATTTGCATTTCCTCTTCAGAGAAGTTTCTTTTTAGCTCTTCTGCCCAGAAAAATTGGCATCTTTGAT